GGGCCGGGGCCGGCCTACCTACCTCGGAAGACGGCCAGGGTGCCGTTCGGCAGGGCCACCATGCCATCTGCCGGCTTCCCGCTGCACAGGTCTTTCTCTGCAAAACACAGTGGCGCGGGTTTGTTGAACATTCCACAAAAAACGGCGTTACCTCCCCAGCCCTCCGCCAGTAGCACTATGGCTGTTAAATGTGACCCTTTGTGCCAGGTGATGGCGGGGGCTCTCTGCCGTTCAGGCCTCTGCCTGGCGCTTCTCATGCAAAGGGTTTAATTACTCATTTGAGATACATTCTTGGAGAGTTTGACTCTCGTGTTTTGATCCCAGGAGTGCAAGACCAGCCGTTTACATGACTAGGTATATCTTTGCTTATTGCTTACCTAAGTACTTGTAATTCAGAAAAAGACCTTTAAATGCATTGTATGCTACATCCCTCATTTAATTTCTTCATGCTCTGGGATGTTTACTTGATGTTTCTCCAAGCTACGCTAGTGGGTTCACTTCCCCCTCCTCATTTCTTAAAAAAAGCATTTACATTTATTTTCAGTTAAATATAAAGGAAGGATGAACCTGGTTTGGACAAAACTCCAAGTATTTCCCATCTAAAAAACTTTTTTTTTTCCTCTCCAAAATATCTGTCAGTATATGATTGGAAAAAAAAATGCCCAAGAACCTGCAGGCTATCTCTGATTAAAATAAATAGTGAGGACATGAAAAACATTGTGGCAAAAAGCACAGAGGAAAGAGAATACAAGGAAAAGACTTCTTGTCGATCTTATGTGACGTTTTTTGTATGTGACTACAAAATGCTAGGTTAGGTACCATGAGTAACGGTGGATATTCAGCAATGTTTTCCTCCCTAGCAATGTTTTCATGGGACTTAGAAATTTATCGTCTCTTTCCTTGACTTTTTTCTGTTTGCATCTTCTGCAGTACCTAAGTAGGTAGTACCTCTAAAGCAAACATTTTTCAGCAGGACCAATTACTGAAACTAATTACTGAAACAAGATCATGCTCTAAAGTACTTGGGGAATTTCATTAACACAATTGAAAACCAAGGTACCAGTATTCAGGATGCTGGCAGCTGTAGCACCGTGGTTATGGTTGACCATTGGGACAGGAGTGCCATGTTCTTGTGGCACCAGATAGAAAGGTCTTGCATGTGCTTTACTCACGTGTTTTGTTGTGCTCTCTGGTGGAGTTATTGGTGCTTTTGTACCTACTGGAATGCAATTACCTTGTGTTTCTCCAGTTAAAATTGGCAAGTCTGCAGTTTGTATTAAAGGCTTGTTGTTTGTGTCGGGCTCCTCTTTTATTGGCAGAGTTTCAGGGTCGGCTGGATGAGGCTCGTCTCTCGTGTCAGTAACCTCCTGGAAATGTATAGTTGGCTTGGATGTCCCTTTAGAAACAATAAACATTTCTTCTATGGTGTCTTTTTTATCTCTTGTAGTGTTCTGTTTGGTAACTGTAGTTTCCTCTCCTTTGTCAATAGTAGGGGCCTTTTCAGTGTCATCTCCCATTTCTTTTTCAGGTGTGATGCTAGTTTTTTTGATCGTTGTTACGTCTTTACCAGCCGTTGTTGTCTCTACAACACAAATACTACTTGTGCTCTCTTTAGCTGCTGCTGTTACAGTCTGCTTAGTTTCCATAATTGTGTCTCTTTTATTTGTTGTTACAATCTCCCTGGGTTTAGGAGTTGAATCTGTTTTGGCAGTTGTTGCCAACACGGTAGGCTTGGGCAATGGAGTTGTAGCTGCTGCGGCTGCTGTCGTTACAGTTGCTGTTCCCACAGGGTTTTCTTCTTTTTTAGCTGTTAAAGTCTCTTTTGGTATGGGAGTCTTGTCTTGTTTAGCTGGGCTTGCTTCTTTTTCTGCAGCTGTTGTTGTAGTCTTTTTGTCTGCAGTAGTTGCTTCTGATTCAGCTGCTGTAGTGACAGCTTCCTTGGCTGTAGGTGTTGTATTGGGAATATCATCCTTAACTTTAGGAGAGTCATCTGGTTTAGCTGTTATAACCGTAGTTACAGTAGTTGTGTATTTCCTACTTTTTGTTGTTAAAATGTCTTTAAGCACAGTAGTTTTGTCTTTCTTGGGTGTAGTTATGTCTTTGTTCACAGTGGTTGTTTCTATTTTAGTTGTTGTCTCTTTGGTTATAGGAGTAGTAACAGTTTTAGCTGTTGTTTTGTCTTTTTTGTCCGGTATTCTTACAATCTCAGTAGTCCTAGCTGCAGTCACCACTATCCTTTCTACTGCTGTAGTCGTGTCTTTTGCAGTTGTGCTGGTTGCTAATTTAGGTGCGGGAGTTGTAATTTTCTTCTCTGCTGTTGTTTCTGAAACTGTCGTGTCTGCTTCAGGTATGGGTGTTTCCTTCCTAGTTGAGACCACCTCACGGCTTTGAGTGGTTGTGTCTTTTTTAGCAGTTGTTACTAATCCAGGGACAGTAGTTGTCATTTCAAGAGGTGTTGTTTTCTGTATGGCAGTGGTGTCAGCCTCAGTAGCTGCAGGGGTAGTCCCCTTAACCTCAGGGGTGTTGGGAGAGTCTGCCTCTGCCTTCTCCAGTTTAGGGGTAGTGGGAGAGTCTACCTTGGTGGTTGGAGCCTCTGGAGTTGTGTCTTCAGGTTTGGAGGTGGTGGGAGAGTCTGCCTTGGTTGTTGGTGCCTCTGTGGCTTCACGGGTTGTGTCTTCAGGTTTGGGGGTGGTGGGGGAGTCAGCCTTGGTTGTTGGTGCCTCTGGGGTTGTGTCTTCAGGTTTGGGGGTGGTGGGAGAGTCTGCCTTGGTTGTTGGTGCCTCTGGGGTTGTCTCTTCAGGCTTGGGGGTGGTGGGAGAGTCTGCCTTGGTCGTTGGTGCCTCTGTGGCTTCAGGGGTTGTGTCTTCAGGCTTCTGGGTGGTGGGAGAGTCTGCGTTGGTCGTTGGTGCTGCTGTTGTCGCAGGGGTATCTTTCTGACCCATTGTGGTCTCTTTGGTAGTTGTTTCTTTTATGGTTGTACTTGTTGTAGGTGGTAAAGTGGGTTTTGGGCCTGATGTAGTTGCTTTGATTGTTGTGGTTGTATCAGGGTGTTTTGTAGTTGGAGCAGGACTGTTCGCTTTATTTTCCAGTTCACTGCTATTATCTATGAGAAAACAAATATATATTAAATTCAGACATTGGAATTGCAGTGCATGCACCAATTGCATATTAATTTATCATACCAATTAGAGCTGCTTATCTTTTGAATAGCAGTAGTTGTTTTTATGGTCTTTGCTCTAAAAGCTTTCTGTGTAAAATTGCACTTTATTAGCTTTAAAGTGGTTGAAACATTTATTTATACTGGTGAAAAAAAAGGGTATGTGGAAACCTAAGTAAAATGCCAGTTTATGGACTTAGGTAACTGTCAAAAGATAAATAATTTAGAAGAGCAAAACTAACTTGGATTGGGGTAAATGTGAATTCCTTTTGTCTGCATAGGACTTTGCAGCAGCTTAGCTAAGTTTTAAGTAATCCTTTGGCTCAGCTGTCGCAGCTTTGAGTGCAGCATTGTAGGTTTTAGTTTGGTGTTTGTAGGTGAGGCCACCTGGTGTTTCCGTCCTTTTTCATGGAAGGGGAACCACACTATAAAATATAGTCCTTCTAATAAGACACTTCCCTTCTTAGTCTGTTCTTTTGATTTATTACTCTGACCTTAACTGTAAAATGGCCTGCAGTGACCTGGGCTTTAAGGAGATAGGTAGGGAAATGGGAAGAAAAGAAACTTTCTGAATACAGACACCTGACTGTATCTCCTACTGTACCTTTATATCTCAGATGGTTTTCCTCTTTGTTATTTACAGCTTTAAGACTCTCTTTACTTGTATGTATAGTTACATTGACTTGAGTCAAATTGTTAATATAGCTATATTCAGTAAAAAGTAACAGTAAATGCTTCTGCAGTTTAATCTCTCACTAAGTGTTATCTCTCTGAAGTTTTGCCTTTAGTTTTGTTTTCACATAGGTTTTGTTTTGTTTTCTAGGATTCCTGCTGTGTTGCTCTACCGTTACAGCTGAATAAGCATTTGTTTCTTGAAAACCTGAAAAAAACAAGTGCAGCATCATGTGGTTTGGGGCCATGTTCAGCTTTTGAACAAATCTAAAAATATAAAAAGATCTGAGCTACTGCTGATGGTGATGGCCTGATGACTATTAGCAGCACTGATGCTGTGTGTCTCCCAGCAGAATGGAAGAATTTACAATACTGCAGTGTGAGAAATAATCCCTGTGTAAATATATTGTAAAAACAGTGCAGTATGAGCTGAGTGTTACAGAACAGGTTTTCCTCCCACCCAATGTGTCTGAAATACCATAAGCCAAGTGGGATCCTGTTAATAGTTATTTGTATTTCCTTAATTTTATTTCATTTAACCCACTATATCGATTTTTTTTTTCTAATAGGAAATTGCCACAGTGGAAAGGCAAGTACTCCAAATCTAAAATTAAAAAAAAAAAAAAAGGTAGGTGTTAAAATGTTGGCCAGAATTGATTTCTAGTCTTATTTAATTCTTGTTACTAGAGGTTTCAAGTTCAAACTGATCTCCTGAGTTATCACTTTAAAAGCTGGAACAGAATATCAAAGAACACAGGAAAGCAACATATTTTCCATTCAGAAAAAATAAATATGTGTTTTCTGAAGCTCCATGAGGCCTGGCTTGATTAAAGCTAGAGAAACCTGCTAGGAGATTTTCCTGTCTTGGTCCTGACAATTCATCACTGTCCCAAAATACAACACCCTTCCTGTTTCAGCAGTGGAGTTTGTCCAAAACTGACAATGGTGTGTAACGTATTTTTGGAAGATGTGTGTGAAAATCCAATAGGGACGCTGGAGACATCACCACACTTTAACATCTGTGCTAAGTGAACTCTCCAAAGTCAGTATCCTGAGGTCTAGGTGAGGTAATTAGTTTATAAACTGAGTGGTTCCAAGCTTGGTAACTGTCTGGTAATGTCTCACATCAGCTTTCTATTTCCAGAGCAGGAAAATGGTCTTTAATGTTCCTTCAGGTAACACCCATCCTGTTTCAATCATATACTTTCCTACCTTCCATAACTTCATGGGGCTGTGTTACTTCCTCTGGCTTCTTTTCCTCATTTTTGGATGACCTTTTAGATGCTGATTTGTTTGCTGGAGGAGTTTTTGGTGATGCCTTTTCTGCATGTGCTGAAAGAAATAAAATAATCTGTTAATGGGAGCATTTTTCTTTATAGGTGCTTGGTGTCAACTGTATAAGAAGAAAGTGATTACAAAATTTCAGTGACCATCTTCCATATAAATCTAAGTTTCTTCCTACCTATAGGATTCTTTATAGCTTTATTCAGGGGAAAAGGGAAAAAATACCCTTTAGATCCCTAAGTGTTTCATCACAGATGGGAGAAATGTTTTTCCGAGAAGTTTGAGGTGAGGCATTCTTTGCTAATGGCAATTTTGAGGTGGGGAAAAGATGAATTCTGAGTGGAGTTCTGCGTTCTGAAAATCTGTCTTAATTTTTTTGTCAGCTTTTTTTTTTTGACTACAGATGACTTGGGACTGACTCACTATAGTGGATCTCTGGGAGCTATCATATTAGCCAAGCATTTACTTTGACAATCTCCTGAAGATTTAGTTATGTTGTAGTTCTTCAGGCATGATAATTCTACACAAGTGATCATTTTGGAGAGACATCTTAAAAGCAATAGTTTCCTTGAAAGAGACAGGACCTACAAAGCAGGCGTGGACCAAAGAAACAATGCAAGGTCTAAGTATTAAGCTAACATCTAGTAGGCTGAGTTGTAGGAGAAACTGGAGGTTTGTGTGCAGGATTTCCAACTCTGAAGATTGCATGGGATTTCACTTGCATCCAGTAAGAGCCAGAAAATATTTTTAAATTAACTGCTGGGTCAAACGGTACAACTGGAAGTGAGACCATCTCTTCCCACTATCATAGCCTTGTAGAAGGATCTTGCTAGTGGTGAAAAAAGCATGATGGAGCTCAGTGAACATGCAAAATTTTTTTTATTCAACTAAATGAGCTAGTAACTGCCATAGGTATGTGTAATAAGCTTTTTACAAAAGGAGCGGTATTTTTGTCTCATAAGGTGACGACCATGGTATCAAAGGATTTACCTTCATAGCAAGATAGTACTCAAAGCAAGTAAGGTTGGGTGTTGGACTATACCCTGAAGCTTTTATTGAGAAAGAGAGAGAAATCGTAATTGTTAAATAAAATCTCTTTGGGAGCTGAATCGGCTTTCAGAGTCAGTAGTGGAGGCAAAAATGTTTGATCAGTCCTTAACTCTGTGTGTGTGTGTGTGTGTGTGTGTGTGTGTGTGTATTCAGGGGATATAGGGCTTCTGGAGGATAGGAAAGATAAAAATGCTCCCTAGATATACATTGTAAACTTAGCTTCGCTGTACAGGGCAAAGTGTTCAGAAGATGCAGAAACAGCAAAATTATTCCAAGAGGTTTAACAGGTTTCTCAGTTCTCACAAATAGCAAAAATACCAACATACTGAGTATAGTGGTAGTCTGGGTTTGGGGGATTTTTTGGTAGTTTTTTTTTTTTACAAAAATTAATAGCAAAGCTAAGTAATTAAAATACTGGAAGAAAGTCTTAAGATGAGGAGCAGTTGGTTAAATTTTCATTACATTTGAACTGAAGAACAAGTGAAACAGCTGTCTTTTGTGAGCATTCATGCATGTCAAACTCTGCAGATAGGGGGAGGCGTTAAGCAACCTCAAAGGCAGCAAATTGACCTCAAGACACTTCCAAGATGTTTATCCTCCTCTAGACATCCAGTCAAAAAATGCTGAATGCAGACTCTATTTCAATATAAAATACTGTGCAACTGAGTGACAAAACCAAGCGGCTATACCAGCATTTGGGGACAGGGAGTGGTTTGGTGAAGTGAACCAAATGATAATCTGTAACTCATCTTGTTTTTTAAAGTGCACGCTTTGGAAATTGGCTGCCTTGGAAGTTGTCTGGTCTGTGAATGCAGCAACCCGGTGCCAAGCCATATTTGCCAAGTTCACAGGAATGAATTTAGGTCCGTAAGTACCAGAAAGTTTAAGGACATGATGAAATTAAAGATATTCTGTTAGTGTTTTCTGGACTAGAATTCCACTGCTAGTGTCATTAAAGCTACATGAAGGTGAAACTGCACCTCCAGGTCTGTGCCTTTGTGCTCAACTAACAAAACCCCATCAGGTTCTGTAGTGAAAGACAGAATAAACAAAAGTGACTGTAGGTCACTGTAATTCTTCCCTGAACTGAATTTGCAGCCTAAAGGTTAGATGTGCATCTTCTTAAAATTCCTTTTGCTGCAGTGTGAATATGTAACCACTTCTAACCAGGCAGATCCTGCAATTCCTCCCTCTTGCCCCAGAGGATGGATTTCTGTGTTGGGCTGGTCTTCCCATTTTGGATTTGAGGTGGGCAGGACCTAGGACATCTCTCAATCTATGCTGCCAGTGACTGCAGTAACCCAAAGCAAGTAGTGCTATCTCAGTGCATGGAGTAGGTATTCTCCACTTTTGGATGGGTGGGGAATTTAAGGGAGTTGGACCTTCCTTCATTACTGCTTTTTTTTGTAAGATGAACTAGGCTTTTTACTGCGAAATATCATTCATTCCCCCCAGCTTCTGTCCTTGAATTCTATTATTGATGTAACTTAAGTAGTATGAGTGGAAATGCACGTGCAAAATGTGGCCTTACACATATTATTCTGGGTGACAATTCTGATAGTAAATTAGAGTGCAGCTAGTGCCAAAAGAGGCTAATGCAAAATAAAACTTTACCCTCAGAATTTGTATCTTTGTGATGGCTTCCAGTTTATCTACTAGTATGTGTCCATAAAGTGTTAATGCTTGAGAAAATGGCCAATTTATATTTGAAATCAGATTTTGTTGGTTTTGTTTTGTTTTTTTTGTTCAGTAGCTAACTTCTTGTGTCCTGAGAAGCCTGCGCAGTTAATGTTTTACGATAATGCAAAGCATCTCTGTTTAAATATATCTACGAAAAAAATAGTGATAAAGAAATTTCTTACCCTCTTTACAGTGTTCTGTGTAGTCTGGGCAACATTTGCCATATCTTTCACAGTCTGCGTCACAGTCACACTCTCTTCCTCTTTCAAAGGCTTCAAAGCAACGTCCTTTGCAGGAGAGTGCTACATAAGGCAGAACGAGAGAGTTAGTGTTTTTGGCTAGCTCACGTTTAACGTTGGGACCTTTCTACAGTGAAGTCATTTGCTTAAGCTGATGTAAAGAACAGCTTCATAAAATTGGGTGGTTATTCTGGTCTGATCCAGAACTCGTTTGTGTAATTGTGGGGTTTACATCAGGCCATACAACCAGAACTGCACTTTGCCATTGCAGTATATTGAGACCATTTAGAATTTATAGTGGAGTAAAATGTGACCTCAGCATTCACTTTAGCTAGGTCCCATCATAGAAGGTTTCCATTTCCCTAATCAAATAGCAGTTATCTCAAGAATAGTATTTAAATTCTGGGTTGGGTTTTTCAAAAAGGTATTCATTAGGGTACTACTTTGTATCAAGAGTGATGTGTCTACCAGAGCATTTCTGAAAAGTAATTTCCCTAAATATGTCATGACCAAGTGTACTTGGTGTCTCTGGGCAAATACTGCAACTTAATTGTGTGAATGAGTTAACAAAGTTGCACAGAGTGACTATTTTTGAAATGTTATCCCAGTCTATTTAATACAGTTCTTAAATTTTTAGTACTAAAGGAGTATGTACCATGTTTTGACATGATTAATAACCACATGCTTTTAATGTTGCATTACTGGTTAACTTCTGACAACTTCAGTCACTACAGTACTTCTGTTTCATATCAAAAAATTACCAAATTGTTTGGGAAAGTGTGTGCACAGCTGTTACAGACTTCAGCAAAATACGCATGCTGTTATTTTTGAACATTTGAAAACATGAACCTGAACATTTACATCACGTTACAATGTAATATTTATTAACATTCAGTAGTACCTTTAATAGGTACTTAGTTAACTGTTAAATTGAAGTGATTATGTTAGACCTGAAGTGGATATTTTTTGAGGATGCTTAGTATCTCTCAGAATTGAGCCAACAATCAGCTATCACTTGGTATTTCCAGAATTTGCTGTATGACCTGTTATTCTTGTCCTGTATCTTTTCTGTACATAAGTCTCTACTGAAGTCATTGTCTTTGTTGCACACAGGGCATAAAATCATATTTTACAATTAAATCACTGTCTAACAAAATTAAGATACCTGTCTAGGCAGATTCTGAACATCTTTTGACCGGTGTGGATGTGGAGTGAGTCTGTTGATGCCAGTAGATTCATCCCACATACACAGGTGAGAATTGTTTTTATTTTATGATGTTAGGACAGTTTTTATTCATAAACAATGTCTGGCATTTCTCTAATTTAGGCAGCATCGATCACACACTAACTGGGCAACAGTCCTTAGTCAGACTGCCTGCATGCTTTTAAGTATGGCACCTACTGTGCTTGCCTGAATTCAGTGATTTAGGGTAGAACAGGGAAGACTTCCTCTAGCCTTAAACATTTTATTAAATGTTATGTAGATCTGAGAATAACTTTAGAATTTGGTCCACAATAAATAAATAGCCTACATAATTAAAATACCTCAGTATGTACTTTCAGCTATGATGTCCCCTCACAAATCAAAATCAGGATGGGGAAGACTGAAGTGCCATTGTTTCCAGTGTGCATGTCAAAGCAGCAGAATTGGCATTTTAGGGAGTGCTGTGTCTGCATTTTGAACAACACTCGGCCTGTGTTGGTGGATCTAAGAAATTTTATCTTAACACCTGTAATCTTACTAGAACTAGAGTGTAGTGTAACAAACTGCAGTTATCTAAATCACTGATATTTTTGACATTGGTGATTCATCAGAAAATACTTTTTAACTCTCAGTAAAATAGTTTGAAATACCTGTATCTATACTATATAATTTTGCACATAAATAAAGCATATCAAATAATACTTATCCAACCATCTTTTCCATCAAACTCAATGTGGTTCTGATCCAGAGTCAATTTCTATGCATGGAAGGACACCCTCTGACTTTGGATTAGACCCTACAGCCTCCACACTTCTTAAATTTGAGTTGGAATGTCCCAAAATTTCTTCCTGGTAAACCCTGAATTTGCTTTTACCAATTTTTTGTATAAGAGACAAACATATAGTACAAACACACTAAGGAGAAGAAAACAAGCAGCAGGTAAACCATTTCCCCTCGTCTTGCCTAGCTCTGCTCTTCTGAAAAGCAAAATCCTATTCTCAGTGATAACCTGTGGATGCACAATTTTCTTTGAATGGGTTGTGAGAGGTTATCACTGCATTTTTGAGGGGGAGAATAATACACGTATGAGAGGAGAGCAAGGACACAAGTGAACTAAAAGAGACATTTAAGCATTCAGAGGAGAGACACTGGTGTGGTAGGGAGTTGGAGCAAAGGGGAGGGGAAGTCTTGCAGATAGGAACTGGCTGTCTTTGGGAACTTACCCACTGTGCAGAATTTCTTGAAGTCAGGGCAGCACTCCATGTAGTGTTGACAGTTAAAATCACAGTGGCAGTCATGCTCTCTAGAATACCCTTCCCCACATCTCCCTGTACAGCTTGATAAATCTAAAATCACACAACACTAGTGTAAACGTTGCTAAACCAAAATGGTACATAAGGAAATGCTGAATGGCGAAGTAATAGGATTTCTCTTTTTTTCTACAGAATGCCATTTCTTCACTCAGTATTGCAGAGACTGTGGGACCGGTGCAACCCCTCCTGAAGGCATGCGGATCAGAGGTCTGCTCTGAGCTAGCCTGAGGACCAGCAGCAGCACACACTCAGGTTAGAGGGGGTGTTCTGCTGAGGCTAACTTAGCCTGTTTCTCCTGAAGATTAATGAATCCCTGAGGAGTGGTTCAGTAGTATGACCACAGCAGTTCTGGCATCCAAACTAGCCCATGCAGATTTAACTTAGGCAGTGTATCAGCCAGGTATTATATTGTTTTGCAGACTTATTCTCCACCTTAACTCACCCTACGTATGGTTATAGATGTGTGTCTGCACAACTGTACCTGACAGACCTGTTAGGTTTGACTGATTTTTACTTTTGGTAATGTTCTTTATAGTAATAAAATCAGTTTAGCTTGCAAACTGGTGAGCACTGTCATAATAAATGCAGGTCCCTGGAGCCATTTTTATTGGCAGTTTTCAAAATCTGCCTGCCCTCTACGTTATTTTTTTTTTTCCCTGCGGTCAGAGAGGAATTTGGTATCAACTCTGAGGTTAGGAGCAGTTGGGATCTAGTCCTGCAATCTTCTATAAAGTACTTTCTGTTGATGAGGAGACTACTTATTAGCAGACTAGCATAAAAGTTTATCCCACAGTGGCTTTACTGCTAGAGTGCTGTAGTGTTGGAAAATGCTGAATAATAATAAATGGTGCAGGTTACAGCTGTTAAGCAAGATATCAGGAGGTCTGCTTTCAAACTGCAAGCATTCAAGCTCAGCAGTGGTTTGTTACCTTCTACTGCCAGATCAGATATTTGCCCTGCAGTAACTCCCCTTCCTATGTGAAATCGCTACTAACGTAACACACTAATAGCTTCTTCTGGAAATGAAACACGCAGGACCACAAGTGAAGTGCCCCTAAATACAAACAAAGAAGCTGAACAATCAGCAAGCTAAAACAGAGTTTAGATAATCAGCTGAAACTTTGCGGAACAACAAGAAAATAACAAGAAATAACATATAACACAACACAACACCAAAGACAATTTCTAACAGGGCACACTCCATGTGTGTGTGTATGAAGGAAGACCATGGAATAACAAATAATTATATCTATTGTGATTTTCAGCAGTTAGATATAATGTTTCTTACCACTGCTTAACAAATAATGAAGTGGGACTAGGGAATAAATGGAGAAGTGAATGGACTTGAGTTAATGGGCTCTTAATACAGTAGTTGAAAAGAGAAGCTAGACACCTTCCTTTATGGATATGTGCCCAATATATTGCACCTTTCTTCCCTTATGGGAGGAAATTAAGTCCAAAAAGTAACACCTTTTGGTTCAGTTATTTAAGTTTAGGACTTGTAAGTTTTGAAGTTACTTCTAAGGAAAATGCCTAAATGGTTCTAGTTGCTGTTGGCAAGAGTCTTGATTTCTGCTGAAAATAGTGGGAAGGCTCTCATCAACTATAGAGGGTGCAGAGTCAGACTGCTCTGCCCTGCAGGTCGAATCTGATATCTGCTGTGCCCTGATGAGCTGCTCAGATATACAAATGTTATGTCTTCTCCTATAAACTAGTAATATATTATTTTCTACCAGCAAGTAATACACAATTTTATCACTAGAACAAGTTGATAGCTACCTGACAACTGTGACAGCACAGGACTTCCCAGGCTGCGAGTTCTTCTGTTTCTTCATAACAGTGCTACTTTAGTTAGAAATCAATTACAGAGCTTTGAGAGTAAATAAAAAGCTGTAGTTTTAGGCAAATAATTGCCAAAATTGGCCTTGGTGGTGCCAATAACAGTGCATTTAATGGCAAAGCACTTAGCACAGTATAGACATTCCTTTCCCTGAGCCTGTTGTGTTTAAATATTTTTAACCAAATTATGTGGATATTGTAATTTTAGATTCTTCCTTGAATCATACTACAAGTCACTTGGGCTAAATATGTCAGTCTGAGGGCAACAAGATCTGTAGAATATGTCTACAGAAAAAGAAGTAGGTTCATACATATTTTGTATTATATTCATATTTATGTGTTGTTCCTCCAAAAAAGAGGACCATGCTGTACCAAAATATATTTATGAAAATATTCAGTGATGATAAAACTGAATCATAATGCCTATCTGAATAAATATAAAGTTCTAGAACTTAGTATTTTTATGAAGATGCATTTGAAGCATCCTTAGTATTTGTCAGATATCCTAGACACCCTCCCTTCAACATTATATGTTACAGTACCTTCAGAAGACACTTCTTGAATCAAGGACAGTGAAAGGATCACCATGGATACGCAAAGTATGTTCCATATGATCATTACTTTCAGGTACGACATCATCCCTAAAAAGAAATAATCTCACTACATGCAATTCAATTAATCAGTTCATATTTTTTAAAAATTTGCAGTGCATATCTCTATACATAATACTAGTTTAATAACAACATAAAATTAGTATTAAAATTATTAAATGACAAATTGCTAATTTAGAATTAGTCCATAAATTCTATCTTAGTTATTAATCGATTAGCTGTTAAATTTTGTAGTAAGAGTAGGAAAATTCATGATTAACAAATAACAGAACTAATTTTTTTCAGAATTCTATTACATGAAAACTACATTCACAGTCTTCTTTTAACATGGATACACTTCAGTACAGCAGTTTCTAAGGTTATAATACTGAAAAATATAAATGTAAAGTAAGAAAAAATACTATCAAAACATTACTTATTAAGGCACATAATTTTATAAACCATAATCTATCATTGAAATATTAGTGTTTAAGTATGTCAAATGGAAAGGTAGGATAAAAGTAAATCTTCTTTCAAAAGGAAAACTTGTCTGGTTTCTCTGTTCCAGTTCATCATTTTCCTTTTGAAGAGCAGCACTTTGATCAAAATGCTCTGAGTAGAGATAGGTGTGACACTTACCTAACAAAGAATATGTCTGCTCTCAGCAATGTTTCAGATGCCTTATATATTGCTTTGTAGCTACGTTGGGGTTAACTAATTAGACAGCTTGTTAAACAAAACTGCCAATGACAGCTTATGACAGCAAACTTTCCACATGAGTTGGAAGAGGTCCCAGATGACTAGACTAACGCAACATCTGGAAAATGCTCCCATTAAGAAAAATGATTACAGAAAAAAATAAATAGGGACTTACTAGTCAAAACACATTTTGATTACTGAGTGAAATGAACAAATTGTCCTGAATGCATCTGGAAGGCATTAGATATTATTGCATAGCAATAAAAAAATCATTATAGACAAATGCTGAGTATATTTTCTCTCCTGTCAAATGTAGCTTAGGTGACAGTAGCCTAAAATTATGCAGTATTATCTGCTACTGATGGTGTATCTTCTCCAAAAAGTTTTGAGATCTAATTCATACAGGCATAAGCAGTTTGCCAGTTCTGCACTGATATATAGTACTTTCCCCTGAACTGAATGGAAATTTTGCCAAGGTATTGGCTAGAGATCAAAGATTTTACTTAAATCTCAAATTTATTAAATATCGTATATGTAAAGCATCAAAAATGAATGAGACATGCCTAAATTGTTTCAGTGGTCTTTGTGTTCATTGGTTCCAGATTCAGGATACTGGAAATGGTTATTTTTAACTCTCTCCCAGAGCTAAAGGAAGTTTCCATTGAAACTTTTAATGGTCCTGACTCTCGGGGTTTGGGAGGGATTTTTTATTCAGAAACTATCCTAAAGGCCAGGGAACTTTAATACTTCTGTCTTACATTATTACTTAAATCTCAAAGTAATTCTGGTATCCCAAAATAATAAATATGGTATAATACGCATTGATCCAAATTGAGGAAAGCACTTAAAATGAGCTTGAGTCTCTTAAGGAAAATAACGTAGATACCTCTGAAAAGGAGTGTGTTTAGACATGTGCTTGAACGTTTTCTTCACTTGGTCCAATGATTGTGCAGCTTTAGTATTTTTATGCCAGAATTTCTTTCAAATTTCTGTATTATCACAATAGAGGCAGTTTCATTTAATCTTTCTGCACTGTGTATGCTTCTAATTGCATGCATATCACAGCCAGGCTTCAATTAACTGATTCCAGTCAATAAAAGAGTGCTTTTTCATTGCTCTAGGAGCACATATAATCTTTGTAAAAGTTTCTAGAGTTATTTAGACAAGTGTTAATTGGGAGCACTTACATAGTGTTGATTTGCTATTCAAGGTTCTCTGCCCACTGCCAACCTGCTTATGAAGTAAATATTACTATACTTTGTGGAAAAGGGAACGTGAGGCTCTGAGATTTTATAGAGTTTATTCAAGGTAATACACAGAAGGAAATACATATTACATGTCTTATAACAAGAACTTCAGTGCTGTCTTTAGTGGAGCTGACTATAAGCTTGATAAAGAAACTGTGGTTGGAGAAGAAAGGTACCTGTCTATGGATATTTAAAGCCTAGGGAAGAAATAGTTGTTAGGGTAGCTAAATAGGATCAACATGATGAGATAGGTCTTGTAGAAAAGTACTAAAATCCTCATAACTTAAATAATTTGATGCAAGACTACATTATTGAGTATATCCTTACTTTGATATCCATGATATGGAGGAATTTGTTGACTTCCATCATTTCACAGCCACTACAGCTGTGAGTCCCTGTTAATACTGGCTAGCTACCTGAGGTGAAAAAATACACATAAAGTAGTAAATAAAAAGTAATAGAAGATCAAAATTATTATTATGCTTCTGTTAACATGCCAGTACTCAATTAAGCCATATGAAAACAATCAGGCACATACATAGCTTGAAAATACGGGTATTCATGATTGGCTGCTACATTTGTTGTGTTACGGATATGTTCATTTTGGTAGGGTTGTATTGTTTCATTTCTCTTATGAATTAAGTTTTTGGATCATCAGAGGCGAGACGGGGTTGCAAAGTGTGAGTAATGAGAAGATAGTTCTGTAAGTGTATTAACAGTACGTGAAAAACACTTAAGACACCTTTAAATTGTAGTGTCACAGTTGCATTGAAATGGTATCTATGCAGGCACCTCACAGCATGTGATCAGACAACAGCGAGGTGGGGTTTGTATCCTGACCAGCTTCTGCTGGTCTTCCCTTGATTTTTAGGGATGCACTTTGAAATCCTGCTTTAAATTATTGTTATGGTTTCTGGAAGGCGGTAAGAAATATGCTCAAATACGGACATAGTCAGGACACTCATGATGGACAGAGTTTACTTGCTACTGTTATGCAAAGGTTTGTGTGCCAGTGAAAAGGGCCATAAGAGTAACAGTGAAACAGTAAGCAGGGAGCTGCATGGGTAGGGGAGGGTGAGGTGGGGATACATGTCAACCATTTTTGGGTTGCGCTCCATCCAAAATGGACTTGGAGCTATAAAAAAAAAAAGGAAGCACAAAATGTCCCATTTCCTTATTTTTATTTCTGTTGCATTTAGGGAAACAGGACTCTCTACATTCCTGATGAGTAAAGATACATGGCTTCACCACCATTTTTCTTTGTCTTGGAGCAACATATGGGACGTAATATTGTGGTTAGCCACTCCAATTGGAAAGAGATAACACTATTTTTTATCTGGTATTTCGTTGCTTCAGTTAGGTATCAACTGACCCGTCATTTAATTTGGCAAGGGTTTCCGGCAACGTAAACACTTCAGTAAATCTTGTCATGTGTATCCAAAATCTTATCTGTATTTCCCAACTTCATTAGTTGATTGCATTTTCTTAAAAAAAAAAAAAAAAGCCTTACCCTACAAACTCTGCTTTGCTTATATAGTGAGATCATCACAGTTACAATATTATTATTGTTAATCTTTTATTTTGGATTAATGGATTACTTACGTTTATGCCCGTGACTCAGCTGTATTCTTATGCCTTTTCAGGCCTTGGCTTTTTCAGAAGCTCATCAGTCAGTCCCATTTATGATGGTGGTTTTGGGATGTGTTCATATCCACTGGGGATCACATGGAAAATGTGAGCCAGTGAAATCCCCCAAAATGGTTGTTGTGTTAATCTGGGTCTGGTCTGACAGATGCCTTATTGCTTTTTCAGTCCCATCATTGATGTCCATTGTTAACCCATCAGTATCCTCAAAATATCATGTAATTTTGATATAAAAACTAAGTTACATTTGGAGTGATCCGAATCCCTGTGAGAACTCAGTTGACTATAAGAGCAGCTGGCATGTCCCTGCAGAAGTTAGAGAAACTGAGCTGAGCAAGAGCGAATAAAGTGAAAAGAAAACAAAAGAGCATGTATTTAAAGTAGTGTTTGTCTGTTAAATATCCACTGATTAGTGTTCCTCTTTTTCATCTTTAACCTAGAAGGAATCATAGAAGGAATTTAATTGAAAGTTAAATGAGAGTGCTAGATGTCTCATTAAATGAGTTACTAAGAAAAATTATGAAGAATCACAAAAAACTTGCTCTTGCAGCAAGGACTGACACACTTTCAGCCTTACAGTCTTGGAGGGGCAAGGAAGGAGAATGATGTAGAAGAGGTAGAAGCCGTAATGTGGGAAGGGCATGGGATTACAATTAATTCTTCTGGGACATCTGATAACTGATCAAAGGATGCTTCCCTGTATTGACTTCTACAATCAGTCACTTCCTTCCATGACAGAACTGGCTACATTTTATTGGCATATTTTATTTTATTATAGAAAAAAAAAGTTAATTTTGAAGAGGACTTAAATACACTGACTTTTAAGACAAAGGAATTGTCTTTTAATTAATTGCTTTTCTGTGATTTATGAATAGTATGAGTAGCAGTAGTATTGCAATGGATTCTGCTGTAGCAAGCTGCTGTAATAAGGGTGAGATGGTCCCATGCATCATACAGTTGGTGTAAATATAGACTTACTGCATTTCCAATTCCTAAACATTTGAGAGAATTGTTTAAAAGTAGAAAAGAGGAAAATATGACTTAGAAATTATATATGTCCTCACAGAGGTAACAGACTGATAGGTGGAAGATGAAGGATAGAATCTGCATGTTTGTTATTTTTATGGTACTACTGAAATCAGTAGGAGAAATCTTTTTATTCCAGAAGAGCCTTTGAACTCAGTACAGCTGCAGACACTACTGAATATCTTGAAGAGCAGGAGGAGGAGCAGATCTGCTGGCAGTTTACGACTACAGATGTACATAACTTGACTTCCTCTGGATCCTTGGCCCTAAGACCATCTTAGTGGGTCCTAACAATTTCCTCTAAAAGAATTTTAAAAGTTTTTATCCCAAAGCTAGAGTACAGATTTATTTGAACTAGGCTGGAATCTCATTTTGTGTGGAATGCGTGCTCTGACTCATACAACAGGGTAGACTTTTAGTGACAGTTACAGGG